CCACTGGCCCCGTTGCCTCCCTACCTTGTCCCATCTCCACTATGCCACCTCCACACAGCCACCTCTGCCGGAACGGAGGCTAGGCTGCTGGAACTGTGTTTTCTCTTCCGGTAGCTTAGCTTCCATTCCATTACAAACAGCCATGGAGGGAGGCTTCCCTTCAGGCAGGCAGGCAGGTTTGCCCTGTGTCCCTGCCGAATACCTGATTGGTGGGAAGACAGACAGGCAGGGCAAGCCTGGCTTCCTGCCTGAAGGGAAGGTCTTTGCAAAGACCTGTCTATCTATGTACCTGCCAACCAGCTGTTCAGTGAGTGCATAGGGCAAGCCTGTCTGGCTGCCCAAAGGGAAGGTGCACCCCCCCCCCGCTGTCTTTGCAAACAGCAGCTTTTCAGCACCCTTGCCTTCCCTCTCTGTCTATGCCCAAAAAACCAGCTGATCCACAGGGGCATAGGCAGGGAGGGGATCCCCTGTGAATGGGGGAATATAAGATGGTTATATCCATCACTTCATATTCTTTGGTGTCTTTGGAACTGATGAATACAAAGGGACAAATATCTGACAAATCAGTGATTCATTTTTATATTCGACCCCATGTCTAGCCTTAAGCAAAAAGTTATGGTTGAAGTGGAAATTGGGGTGGAGGTGAAGGTTCTGAAACATCAATCTATTCATGTTTTGAGTGAGGAGAGGTTGTCTGAACTGCCCTGCTTTGTGCGGGCACAGCTTCAACCATAACCTTTTGCTTTAAACCGAGGGTTTTCTTTCTTTGGGGAATATGGGATAATATGCAGAACTGCACAGCCATGTGCAATGATTCCTATTGCTTCCAGGCATGAAAGGAAGGAGGGAAAAGGCTTCCAGTGCTTCTAAACCTTAATAGCTAGTGCAATAAAGTGCAGCAATCATCACTTTGGGCAGTTTGTGTTATTAAAACATTATTTCAGCTATTTTGCTTATTGTGCACAAAATAATTACCGCTTCTCTGCTGCAAAAACAAAAAACAAAAAAAGAAACAAAAACAAGACAAAAAAAGACAAAAATATTCCAGGCTAAGAGAATAAAGTTGTGATTCTTTGTTCCTTGCACGAGAACCAGAGAAATGAGGATTCGTACCCCCAGTTTCTACACTGCTAGTCACTTTGTTTCACACTGTTATTTCATCTCTCATTGCTAATAATGTATTTCCTTTGCTTACCTAAGCAGTGCCTTAGGTAATTGGCCCTTCCTTCCAAGGCTATGTTGCCAAAAACTATGTCCTATTTGACAATATCTTTTTAAAGCCAAAGTTCAGAAACTCACTTGGAAGGAACGTTTGAGTTGGCACCACAAAATGGCACCACTGGAATACAAAATGCTACCAGCCTCCACTCCCCACAGGTATTGCATATACACGTCCCACAATGTAGCAAAAGGAAATAACATTCCATACCAAAAAATGCTTCTCTTTCAACTCACCTGTAAAGATGGTGTGCTGACTTGTACTGGTAGACTAGGTGTCTGAGGGCAGTTGTAAGAATAATGTAAATTCTCAAAGCTCTCCTTTTGGGCTGGAATCTGCCTTTCAGGCTTTTGGCTTTGTGCTATATGATATCTTTGGAGTTTTCCAGAGGGGGCATAGCCTCGTGGACCTGCAAGATAAATAAGACAGTCACCGTCAGGCTATGCACAGCCCTTGCCTGTTATTAAAGAGCAGTTAGGGATGGATGGACGGCTGGACTTCAGCTGCTGGTAGAGATGTTGCTGGTCCTGATAATCTGCCTTTCAGGCTTTTGGCTTTGTGCTATATGATATCTTTGGAGTTTTCCAGAGGGGGCATAGCCTCGTGGACCTGCAAGATAAATAAGACAGTCACCGTCAGGCTATGCACAGCCCTTGCCTGTTATTAAAGAGCAGTTAGGGATGGATGGACGGCTGGACTTCAGCTGCTGGTAGAGATGTTGCTGGTCCTGATGTTGAAAAGGATAAATAAGACAGTCACCGTCAGGCTATGAACAGCCCTTGCCTGTTATTAAACAGCAGTTGGGGATGAATGGATGGCTGGACTTCAGCTGCAGGTAGAGAGAAGGGTCCTGACGTTGAAAAGGTTTGTTTTGAAAGAATGGTTTATAATTTTAAAAGATGGTCATAAAAGCAGAACATGGGCAGAAGGCAGCCGAGAGAAGGTAGGATGTGTGATATATCCAAGTGGAAACACAAGGGAATGGGGGAAGAAAGATGGAGAACAAAGGTAGGAAAAGGTATATAATGATTAGGAAGCAAAGTATAGAAGGAGAGATGGAGTTAACGAAAGGTAGGACTTGGAACAATGTCTGAGAAAGAAGGAATGTGGAAGCGGCAAGAAAAGTACAATGAAAAGAAGAATCTGAAGTTAGAATGAACAAAGAAAAAGGATTGGAGGAAAAGAGAAAGGGAAACATTTGTGGAAAGAGACAGGTGGAAAGAGCAGAGAGACAATCAGGAAAGAACATGAAGCAAAATTGAAAGGGAGCAAAGAAGGATACATGTATCCTCTGACCTTGCTCTGAATAAGGCGCCAACAACGGGCAGGCAGCTTGGAGACCATCCATCCATCCATCCATCCATCCATCCATCCATCCATCCATCCATCCATCCATCCATCCATCCATGTTCTTAGTTCTTGTGACTGGTGGATTTTCCTTGACTGCCTGGTGCCACCCACAGGCAATCTGGATAATCTTATTTCCCAGCCACCCTGGTTCCAGCAAAGGTAGCGTGCCAGCTGGGAGAGGACAGTTGCCCACAAAATATAGGAAGCCTGCAGAAGATGCCAGTGATAACCAGGATGCTTTGCTGCAGCTACCTGCTCTTGTTTCATTCTAACCCAGTACCTCTTTCATTGAAATCTCTCAGTTTTCAGCACTTAAAGCATATAACTGTGCAGCAAGGTGTGTAAAGTGGATATTCCATTCTACAACCAGGATCTCAGAGAATTAGAAATGAAAAGGTCTGGGCTTAGCTGTCCTGAAAACTCAGAAAGGCTATAGCTTCAACTAGATACGACTTGCTAAGAATTATGTGTTAGCTACAGAAACTGAGCTGGAGCAATCTAAAGGTCTATTTGGGCTAGCAACCTGTTTCCCATGGTTGTCAACTTCTAATCTCTGGGAATCCCCCACAGCAAAGCTTTGGAAAGCTCAGAAACTGGGATTTAGAGCCATTCTCCCTCAAACATAACAGTTTTTCTAGGAAAGGGTAAATTGCCCAACGTGATTTCATACAGCCTGCCATTTTTCCACTGTTACGTTCTGTGTCTTTGGCAGAATATATGTGTTTTTGTACTCACTGTTTCAAATGTACACATTTTACATGCACTTTTTCAAATGTTGACGTATTTTGTTTATATGGCAGCCTCATCATAAACACCACCAGCTAATCATAAACGTAAGTATGTGTTTTGAAATCTAAAGGCACCCAGGTTTGTATTTAGGTTTCAGAAGGTCAAACTTGGAAAGTTTGCATTGAGAAATGAACTGAATATGTATCTTTCCTAGCCTTACAAAGGCTGGTCTAGTGCAGTACTCTGTTTTTTAAGCAGTCAGAGAGGTAACTGTGGAAAGTTTGCAATCAAGACATGAGTGTAACAGAACCCTCTTGTTCATATTCCTCAGCAACTGCTAAATAGAGGTTTACTGACTCTGATATCAAAGGCGATAGGTCGGCATCACAACTAGTAGCCACTGGTAGTTAGACCCTCTATAAGCGTGGAGGTTTAAATGTGTATGCAGTTGATAAGAACTACATCTAGATATCACTTGTGCAAAGTTGGGTCAGCTAGAATTATGATAAAGGATTCTCCATGTTCTCAGCCATATAATGGTATCATTAGATCTTATAAAAAGTGCGTATTTCAGGTTTCTAGATATCACTTGTGCAAAGTTGGGTTAGCTAGAATTATGATCAAGGATTCTCCATGTTCTCAGCCATATGCTGGTATTGTTGTTTTAAAATATAGATGCACTGCTGGGACCAAGCCACAGGTTTCTCTTTTAGTGCCACAATATCTAAGCAAACATATCTGGATGAACACATTTGGGGCGTGCCCCAGTACAAATAGTAATCATGTTCTATGTAAACTGCCGCAAATTCTGGTCATAGATATCAAGCTTGGAACCAAAGCAAAGTTATATTAGTCCTTGCAACCTCTACAGTACCTCCAGCATCCACCAGCCATCGATTAGGATTGCCCTTGGTGTCCTTGTCATGTAAAAGGGCCACAATCTGCCCCCTCTGTAGCGTCAGGTCCATCTCTTTGCTGCCACTGATGTTGCTTGTCACCTGGTACAACTTATCTGTGCCATGTTTGTTCACAAGCAGGAGGACTTTCCTCTCCTCTGCAGGGGTCAGAGGCTGTGGAAAAGGGAAGAAGGAGAACTGGGTGAATAGCTCCTCCTTCCGCTGCTTATGCTATCAGGTTGGTGTGCTGGAGGATGGGGAACATCCAGGTGTTGGTCCAAACCAGAATAGAACCATTGACCATAAGTTTAATCAATGTCACAGGTACATTTTAGTTGGGGCTAATGACTGAAATTAGCCCCACCCACCCCAAAATTAGGCCATTTTGCTCTTTTCCGAGGAAAGAGACAGCTCCCTAGATATTTTGGATTGTTAGAGAGGGTGAAACTATGAAGTTAAATAAATTATACATCAATAAGTATAGATATCACCAATCTGTCAACGGCAGAATCCAGCCATTATTCTAACCAGCACAGCTGCCGAGAGGGCTGTGAAGAAAGTGATCACACCCGTGCAATGAAGATCTGCTGGATGATATCCTGAATATCACCAAGGAGGAGTGACTTCCCCTTCCATGCCCATGTCAAACAAGTCGAGCCCCATGCAGTTGGGAAGTCTGGCTGGGAAGCAGGAGAGGATAACACGAGGAGCACACCTTTTAGCTCAGCTTTCACCAACTTGGGTGTCTTCCATATACATGGGATGACAGGTCCCTGGCCTAAGCTGACCCGTGAGAGTTGAAATCCCAGCACAGCGATCATGTTGGAGAGAGGGGCTCCAGGTTGTCACTGTAGCACCATACCTGCACCAGAGGGCTTGGCATAACCGTATCAAATTTATCTCGGAAAGAGGAAAGTTGATCTTCAGCTTGGCTTAAAGTATCCTTTACCATCTTCCAAAAATCAGCTTCAGGGAGGTGCCTGTGGGGCAGCTGTGAAGAAGAATGCTAAAATTAAATGGAGCTCTTTTGAAAGCAGATAGAAAAACAAATTTGAAAATAAAGAGTAAATACTAAGCTATATGTACCAAATGGATAGATAGCTTTATGTACGGGCACACATTTTGCTAGAGTTCACTGTAGGTTTCCAGGTTAGAGCCCCTTATGTCTGGGCTATGCCTGATGTAGTGCTGACTCTGCACTTCCCTTAGGCTTGTTTTGGTTACAGTTGCTGGAATAAGGACAAATCTGATAAAGGTAGTGTGTCATCAGTTCCAAATGATGGCCACCCTAGGAAGGTTTCAGAGATACAGTATGAGATATTTGAGTGGTTTTTACTACTGCCATTCACCAGTGAGTTTCCATGGCTAAACAGAGATTTAAACCAAGTCTCTTGATTCCTAGACCAGCACTCTGTCAGCTATGCTGGATTGGCACTCAGGGGCAGAAATAATCCCCCTTTTTATGAAAATGAAAGATGTTTGGGGAGAAAGTCATCTCATATTGTCCATCAGTCCTCTGTGTTCTGTTCACTGTGCTAGCCACTGAAGGTTGATAAAATGATGCATGGTATGGATGGGATGAATATAGATAATCCTGGAACACAGCATCACCCTAGAAGGAAAGCATTTCTTTGTAATTAATTTGTGAAAATTAATTATGAATCATAAATCATTATCAAAAGATCTGACTAAAGGGTACTGGTTTAAAGGTAAAGATAGAAGAGACGTGGATTAAGGCAACATTATCATGCCAACATAACCAGTTGTCATCTTTCCTGAACTAATACACCAGCCAAAATTCAGTTATGCTTTGCTGATCGGTTTTTTTCCCAAAATTTGCAGCGCAAATTTCCCATCAAAGAATGCTACTTATTTGTTCATTTGCTTGCTAGTATATGTGTAGTAAAGAAGTAGTAAAATCCAAGCCGGCAATTTCAAGCAACTGTAAGTAAAGAAATGTTTTTTATTCTTCTGCTGTAAATGTCTTAAAGTGAATTACTGAGACTTTAAGTGCCAGATAATGAGAGTTTTCCAAGCTCTGCGTTTTTATATCTAGTACAATGGTAAACATTTTCTGTTGCCTGGAGTAGGATTCTCTTAGTGGTGGGACACAAACAATGTAATCACTCCTCCTGAAAGATGTGCTACTTTAAGCAGATTTTTTTTAAAAAAAAAACGCATTTCTATAATCTGCATTTAGCTTGTTGGCTTCAATGGTTTTGTGAATTCAGCGTCTGTGGTATGGCATGGTTTGAGGTTAATCTCTTTACTGATAGTGCATAACTTTGAGTAAACAATAGAAAGTCAAGTTAAGACATTAAATGAATGAATGAATGAATGAATGAATGAATGAATGAAATTTTGTGCATTTGCAGCTTGTGGGATAGGAAATGAAACACCTACCAAAACTGGAAGAAAACATTGAGGAAGTACAGAATTCAGCATAGCACATAAATGACACTGGAAAAAATGAGAAATTCAAAATCTAACAAGTTTTTGGGACAATCAACAGAACCATGTTCGTGTTGACTGATTCACTCAGGCAGAAATCTGAAAATAGTGACATCAAGGTTCCTGTTCATGCAGGAGGAACAGACGACACTTACACAGAAGAGGCCTCTATGAGGCTTCATAGATAGATATGGAAGAACAGTTCTATGTTCTTTATTTGATGAAAGCAAAATGCCCATCATTATAAGAAGAAGGGGGAAGAAAGAATGCATTGGTGTTATGAGGACATGAGTTGCAGTGGAGGGGAGGTTATTTCTCTGCCACTCCCTGGATCGTTCAGTGTAAGGGGAAGAAGGCACCTTTTAACTGTGGCAAAATCTGCTCCCTTGCTTGCTTGCTCTCTCTCTCTCTCTCTCTCTCTCTCTCTCTCTGTGATGACCTTTTTTTTTTTGACGAACAAGGAAAAAAGGGAGAGGAGATTTGATGCTTTCCCAACAGTCTTGCCCACAGCCTAGTGCCTTTCATAGCCCAGGCCCACTATTCAGTTCATTGTTCAGCAACATTATTCAGCAGGTAATGAAGGCAATGCTCCCCTTCCCATTTGACCACAAAGGGGACTGGAATCCTAGAGTGCAGTGGTTAGCCTCCCAGTGTAGCGTTGGGCCTCCTCCTTTTCTGGTGGTGACATCTTTATTTCCAAGCCTGAATGGCAACATGGGGGATTTTGTTAGCTCTATGAATAGTGGCCCAGATTTGCATGGATCATCTTATTAACTCTAGCTCTTTACCTGGACAAACCCTCCCTCTGCCTCCTGGAGCACCTGTTTTGCCAGGTCCTTCTGAATCGACACAAACGAATGCAGAAGCTGCCCCAACCACTGCAGGGCTACTTGGTTGAACACTGGTAGTTCAGAGACAAGCAAAGAGTTCATGGCAAGATAGGTATTCATAGCAGCCGCCTCCTCATATGTCACACTGCCTGTCTCGTTCTGCTTCTCCTCCAGTTCCTCATAATCCAGCCGCTTGTCAAAGCGCTTCTTGATCAGCTTTTGAGGTCCTTTCAGAGTCTCTGACAAGTTGCACAGTGGAAAGTAAACCAGATGTTCCAGCCTTTTCTTCTGTAAAGGAGCAAAATCAAAGTGATGTGTGAAATCTTGGTATTCTATACAACCTCAGGTGGACAGAAAGATAGAGTGAGTATGTATGTATGTATGTATGTATGTATGTATGTATGTATGTATGTATGTATGTATGTATGTATGTATGTATGTATGTATGTATGTATGTATGTATGTATGTATGTATGTATGTATGTATGTAATTTTAAACCACCCATCTAGGAAATTGCTACTCTCAGCACTAAAGCAAAAATCATAAAAAAACTTTCTAAAAGAGCTGAAACGTATGGCCATGCTCTCCCCAGCTGAGTACCTAAAATTAGGGAAATAATTTTGATTTAATTTTTTTTTACTTAAACAACTGTGAAAGAATTGCTACATCTCCTATACAGGTGGATTAGTTCCACCTCCTCAGTCTTCCATCCTCAGAAACCCATTAATTAGGCATCTTGAAAAGCCTGTCCTGAAGGAATCTGGTTCCTAACATATCAGGTGAAAACAAACGAAAAAATAAAAAAATAAAGAAAACAAAATTGGTGTGGCACCTTAAAGACTAACAGCTATATTTTAAGGTGCGCTTTCATGGACACAGTCCACTCCCTCTTAAGGAAATGTTCAGGTCCACTTGAGGGAAGTGGACTTGGCCACAAATGCTCCGCACCACAACATTTTTGCCTTCTTTATTTTTTATTTTCCATTATGTGCCTCATATGCTAGCACAGACTAACATGGCTGCCCCTTCTCAAACTGCTTCCTAACAATGATTTTGAGCCATATTTCACAGAAGCAATGGGAAAGCCGAGTGGGGCTCATTCAGACCCGCTGGGAGAGGAATGTCTGCCCTTTGCCTCTGCAACCGAAAGTGGTAGCACCGCCAGCTGTCACTGGTCATAGGTGACAGCAGAAGCATGAAATTCCAGTGTTCTTGGCTTCCCTTTCCTTCAAGATAGGACACAGCCACTCTGCCCTGCTAGCTAGCAATTTCTCTATAGGGTTGGAGGGTGCTCTGTCACCTTCTTATAACCACAGACGCACAGCCATTGCTTACCAAGTGGCAATGGCCATTGCAGCAGCTGTAAGAGGAAATCTAATGGTGGCCACAAAATTTCAGTGGCCGCAGAGGCAGGTGGTACAGCCCCTAGTGGGCTGAGGTGATTCTGTGTGACACTTTGCCTGCCCCTATTTTATAGCAACACAGAAGGTGAGCCAGCACAGCCAAAGCAAAACCTCAGCGCTGTGAGATCAAGTCAATGCCATGGTACTGTAGAATGTGTGTGAAAAGGTGCGCCAGTTCAGAGTAGAACAAGCACTGGCTGCTTGAAGGAAGAAATGGCCCCAGGAAGGTGGGAAGGCAAATAAACTGGACTTTTCCTGTAGTTCTTCTCCAATCCTTGGAAAAACTGGAAGGGGGGGAATGGGGAGGGGACAGTACTTACAAATGCAGGGAAGACCGTTGTGTGGAGTTTTCCTGCAAACTGACAATAGAGCTGCATGGTTCCCGATCCTACATCCAGCTCATTCTCATGAGGTCTTGAGCTGAGGAACACCTAAGGGATAAAGAACTGGCCTTAATGACATAAAAATGACTGCATTGGCAAGATTTAGATTTAGGCTCTCCTGGTTGCTCAGAAGAACCAAGTGGGATCAAGAATCTACAGCTGGGCAATAATTGTAACCCAAATGCCACAAACATGTGCTACAGTGTCACATGTAGAGAAAGGACCACCTCGCAAGTGAACCAGCATGGTTTATGACTGATGCAAAGAATGTTGTTCAAGATCCACTGAAATGTCCCTGATGAAAGCAGCATGTTTAAATCTGGCAAAGGAAGGCACAATGAGAAGGAAGGAGAAAAAGAGAGGGGGGAATCAAATTTTAATTAATTCACCAGTTGACATCACCAAAGCACAGGGTAGCTAAAGGGGAGGGGGGGAAACTAATCACATACAATGAGAAAGAAACAGGGAGTTAAGGCAGTGATTTCTGGGGAGAACCATATTGTTTTCTTCAGGATACGGTGTGTGTATGTCATTTACAGGTTCAGAAGCTATTCTTTTATCCTATCTACGAAACCTGTGCTGCCCAGCTTTTCTGCCCATGTGCTTCTGCATTACCCAGATAGATGCAGAGTCAAAACACTTCTGATTTTGGATTGTCTCCACTTCAAAAGTGTAACCTGCTTAAAGACTCAGCAAGAAGGTGTATTATTACACGGTGGTCTTAGCAGGGATGCTCAGTGGCAGCTGCATTTCTAAGCACTGTTCCAAATTCTCATTCAGGGACATTACTGAGATGTGTGTGGGAGGGTATACATGAGGGCAGGAGAGAAACTGGAATCTGAACAAAACACCTTGAATCCGACCTAATAATTCAAGGGGAAATGGCTTCATTAAATTGCACCCCCTGTCTGCCAGAGACTTTGTTTTCCTGAATCATTTCACTAATTCACAAGCACATTAGCTTGGTTAGATGTTGGGCTACAGTTTCCATAAACCCATATAATTTGATAAATTGGCTAAGGTTGAGAGGGAGGAGGTGGCAGTCCAACAAAACCACATCTCTAATTGAAATCAATGGGGGTTTATCTCTGGTTAGATAACACAGAATCAAATCACCACCACCACCAAAAAAGAGAGCACACAACCTCATTCAGCTTTTGGGCTTCCTTTTGAATACCAAAAAAAAAAAAAAGAAAGAAAGAAAAAAGCAGAGTCTTGAGCCACCCTAAAGAGTAACAAATCTTACTGAGCATAAGCTCTCACAATCTGCACATTGCAATTGATGCACTGGGCTGCTTTCCACAAAATTGTTTTTGCCAAATCGTATTAATTAGTCATTAAGGTGCCACAAAAGACTTTGTTGCTTTTGCTGTAACATGGTTCCTGTCTCTAGCCCCCAAATTTCTTTGTAGTTTTGGAAAGTATTCTTATTTTTAAAGTTTTAAAAGGGAATAAGAATTCAGACAAGCACTTGTTCTAGAACTGTGGCTTTCAAAATACGGCTGCACTGAACACCATTCTGCATTTAACAAGAAAACTTCAATCACTGCCTTCTCTCGGGAGGTGTACTTAACACTGAACAGCTCAGGTAAAATTAAATGCTGAATGAACTTTTTGATTCCATAGGATATCCCTCCTGCGTCCCCTATTGTTATTCAATTTCTGTTCATCATAATGTTATCACCTCAGAGAGTGGCCAAAATAGAGGCAGACTTTTTAATATCACTAGAATTTAAAAAGCATGCTAGGGTGAGGGTGGGGTGGAATGGTGGCCTCTCCAATTCTCTTCTGCCTCAAAATAATTATGCCCTGGCTATCCTGGAAATAAAGCCAGCTTCAAACAAGGTAAAAATAGTCCCTTTGAATTCAGTCTGGTCCTTGTCTATATCCTACAATGGCAAACTAAAAGCGTCTCGTGGAAAGTCAGCATCAGCAACCACTGAGCTATGGTGTTCACATTCTCACTAAACTCTGACAGAGATGGACAGATCTTCACCCATGATGATAATCACAGTTCATCCTGTCTAATTCTTGAAACTTTGCAACAGACAGGGATGGATGTTGTCAAGACAACTCTGTGAAATTCCTGCTCAGGATCCTACTCTCTGCATTCACTCTGCAAGCTAGTTTCAGTGTGACGTAAAGGAAGGTTACCTCAATATTTCCCAGGAAAGATGCCACGTTCTCTTTCAGACCAGTCACAGCTGATGCTAACCACTGGAATTTTTCTTCCAGCTCATCAAACTCCTTGTCCTCTGTCTAAAGACCAGAGAAAGGAAGAAACATGATTGTTTTGCCATTAGTCTCCTGCGCGTAAAGTGCTGGACTGAAAGATGAGAGGAAAGCAGATTAGACATTGAGTGGGCTGGCATCAAAGCAGACAGTACAGATGGCCATACTTTGGATGAACAAGAAATTCATTCAGTTTGCATTTTAGCACCAGTTTGTTACATTCTCACTTCCTAAATGTTAATATAAACCGGAACATATTTAGATGTCAAAAGCTGTACTTTGCTAAAGGTTTTGAAGCAGTTGAGGATGAGGAAGGAAACAAAAACTATAGACCTGAAACAGTGTGTACAGAAATGAATAGGTTGAAAAAGTGGAAGTAAAATAAGATATATCTCCAAATAAATGCATACAGAATGCTGTATTCAATAGAAAGTCACCCACAGAAATGCATACATCTGAAAAAGTACACAGAAAAATACACATAAAAATGCGTACAGAATAAAGGGAGATCTGGTAGCACTTTTCAGATACTTGAAAGGTAGTCATACAGAAGATCTGTTCTCAATCATCACAGAGTGCAGAGCATGTAATAATGGGCAAAATTACAGAAAACCAGATTTAGGTTATAGTAGTATGACAATTATCTTGGGTTATAGTAATTGTTATAGTAGTATGACAATTATCTTGGGAGGCGCTGAGCACTCCAATGCTGGAAGCATTCAAGAGAAAATTGGACAACCATCTGTCAGATCTGCTTTGATTTGGATTCCTGCATTGAGCAGGGGGTTGGACTTGATGGCCAAAGTGTGGAAATAATGCTATGCTAAAACTATCCATAACTGAGCAGAGATAGGATGATGCTCCCAGGCACACAACATCATCTACCACTGCTCAGTCATGCATGGCTTCAGTATGGCATTACATTCATTCCTCTTAAAAGTAACTTTTTAAGCTGAGTGGCTAGGGTGGAATATTGCAAGAAATGTACTAAATTTGGTAGAAAGGGCTCATTTCACTGGCTTTGTTTCGGTGTCTAGATTTTTTTTTCAGGATTCTTTTAATTCATTTCTAGGTAGCAGAGGTCATGGGCACTTTATTGCACTGCCCTGAAACTGCTCAATGGAAGGATTAAAAAAAAAAAAAGTTTGTTACTGGAACTTGGACCATCAGGACGGCCTCACCCTGCAGCTGGTTGTTGATTAGCTAGGCTGAAACAGAGTCCAGAAGTTTCAGCATCTGTTCAAAAAGGAACTGTGTGTTCATTGTGATTCATTCCAACAAAGGGTGTGCTGGGGACAGAAGAACGCTTTGCACACTTACAGCACTTGCTATGTGATCCCCTTGGTGAGGAGGTCATGATGATGCCAAACTTCATCCCATAAGCTTGGAAATGCTAAAAGGTGATCACTTAATTCTCTCCATAAAGCAGCTTGAAGTCACTGCTGAGTTGAGTCTGATGGAGTGGAAACTAGGAGTCGTATGGTGCTCACCCAAGAACAGCTGGTCTCAGTTACTGTTCATGTCCTCCCTTCTCTCTCTCTCTCTCACACACACAAACACACACAGACATCCCATCATCATCTCTCCAGGACATTGCTATGGATTCCTTACACATACTGACAGCAGGACAAAAGGACCGCAAAAGACACTTAGGTACTCACTTTGGGCACAATTCCAGCCTCTTGCATGAAGAGGCGACTCAGTCGTGTGGTCTTTTTGGCGATGGAGTGCGCGTTGATGCGAGCCAGGCGGTCCCGTAGGGTCAGGTACCCAGGCTTATTGTATTTATTTGCTGTTCCCAGTCACATGAATTAGAAGGAGCAGACAGAGGGGAGAAATACATTAAAAGGGGAAGCCCTGGACATTTGGTGATAGTACACTGGCTATCTGTAAGCTGAAACTGGATCTGGAGTTGCCATGAAAGAAGTCCAGTTTGGACACTTTCCAAGAAGCAGCAAATATAGCCTGAGAGCGTTCACACCTTCTGCATCTGCAAACCCAAAATCTTCAAACTCAGTACAGTCGGGTAATGACTTGAGAACTTAATCC